AGAGAAAGGTCTTCCTTCCACTGGTTCACTCCCCAAATGGCCACTATGGCCAGCGCTGCGCCAATCCGAAGCCAGGAGCCAGGAGCTTCCTCCCGGTCTCCCACGCGGGTGCAGGGGCCCAAGCACTTGGGCCATCCTCCACTGCCCTCCCGGGCCACAGCAGAGAGCTGGACTGGAAGAGGAGCAACCGGGACTAGAACTCAGCGCCTCAGGCGGAGGATTAACCAAGTGAGCCACGGCGCTGGCCCCTCCGCTGTTTCTTACATGTGTGGTTTGGGACAGGCTACTGCACTGTTCTGATGCTCAGGTTTTGAACCCGTACAATGAGAACAGATTTTACCTCACTAGACGGCTGCAAGGGCCCAGTGCCTTCCAGGTCCTTAGCCCTGTTTCCTGCGAGGCAGGTGCTTAACGAACCTTAGCCATCCTGGCTGTTACTGTGACCTCTCTGACTGCTCAAGTCACACTGGTGGTGGAAACCCAGTTGGACTTTGTCAATTAACAGCGGGTATTTGGGGGTGGGTGCTTGTGGGAGGGAGAACAGCAGGGTGAGAGCGTCCCAGGGTCAAGGTCGGCTTTAGGAAGAGCGATCTGGGGAAAGGACGGCATATAGTCATCATATAGTCATCCCATATCCAGAGGCATACACCAGATGGCTTCGCATACAAGACAGCGGGGTCTTGGAAGAGCTCTTTAAAGTCAGGTTCAGGGAGAGGAACGGGAGCCAGTATTTCCCTGCTAGGAATGCCAACCTTGATTTGTAAGTGCTCCTCCATGCCTGCAGAGGGCGCCAAGGAGTTAGCACTGAAGCCCCTTTCGACCAGCTCTTCCCCTCCTTACGTGGGAGCTCCGGAAATGCAGGTGCTCCCCGCTGGGCCCTAATGTGTCTGAGGAAGTGGACCTAGTGTGACCGGATGGCTGGTGAGAGGCGTCCCAGACTCAGAAGACCCCCCTTTCCTTGCTCACAATAAGCTGAAAGTGGATTGGGAATTTCTGATAAATGCAGGTATTTCCTGGTAGGGGGCCATAGAATGGATTAATTTTATTAGCCCCCTAGTTGGGAATTTCCCATGGAATTGAGACTCAGAGCAGATACATTTTATTACGGGGTGGCGAAGAGGAGGCGAGGGGAAGTCTAGTGAGAGGATTCCCAGCTGGGGACGGCGACGCGCAGCATGTGTGTGTGTTGGGGGCGGGGGGCTCGCACACCACCAGGCCCTCCTCCCCCTGAGATCACCGCCTGCCTGTCTTCCGGGGTCTGTGGTCCCTCTTCCTGAGCCGCCTTCAGCTGGCCTCATCAAGCGCCACAGACCTGCCTGGAGCTCCGGCCAGTGCGCCGGGGGTTCTTGAAGCAGGAGCAGCATTCCGAAGTCTGCGGGAGGAGAGGGACACAGGGGATGCGGCCTGCTGGGGGATCCGGGAGAGCTCTGTGGCACGCAGGGAGGAAACCGGAAACGCCCTGACCACAGGTGTCCGTTGTTCTGCAGTTTTGCCTTAAGCTTGCTTCTCCGCATGGCTGCACAGTACAATCTGCTGGACTCTGAGAAATATACCAAGGAGATGTGCACTTTTCTGTATATTTATTATCTTTGTCATGTCTTTTATTGTTAAAGACTTATTTATTCAATTGAAAAGCAGAGTTACAAAGAGGCAGAGAAAGAGAGAGCAGTCTTCCATCTGCTGGTTCTCTCCAAGTGGCTGCAATGGCCAGAGCTGGGCTGATCCTAAGCCAGGAGCCAGGAGCTTCTCCCAGGTCTCCCATGTGGGTGCAGGACCCCGAGGACCTGGGCCATCTTCCACTGCTTTCCCAGGCCACAGCAGAGAGCTAGATCAGAAGTGGAGCAGCTGGGACTTGAACAAGTGTGATGCTGGCACTGCAGGTGGAGCTTTACCCACCAGGTCACACAGCTGGCCCTGATATTTATTATTTTTCAATAGAATCTACACACACATAACTAGATACTCAGATGGTAGAACCAACCAGACTATACTGCAAGCCAACTGAATTACTCTGTAACTGGGGCCCCAACTTTTTTTTTTAAATATGAGAGGCACAGAGACAGGGAAAGTGATACAGGCAGAGCTCCTTGTCTCCTCTTTCAGTCCTCAAATGACTCCAAAGGCAGGAGCTGGGAATTCAGCCCAGGTCTCTCACGTGGGTGGCAGAGATCCTGATCACTGTTGCCTCCCCAGATCTGTGTTAGCAGGAAGCTGGAGTCAGAAGCCAAAGGCAGATTTTTTTCAAAAGGTTTGAAATGCAGAGTTACGGAGAGGCAGAGTATCTTCCATTGGTTCACTCTTCAAATGGTTGCAACACCCAGGGCTGAGCCAGGCCAAAGCCTGGTTCTGGGTGGCCCAACCCTAGCCATTGTGGCCATCTGTAGGGTGAGCCAGTGGATGGAAAATCTCTTTCAAATAAATAAATCTTAAAAAAAAAAAAAAAAGTGGAGGGGTTGGTCCTGTGCTGTAGTGAATTAGGCCATGGTCTGCTGTGCTAGCATCTCAAATGGGTGCCGGTTTGAGTCCCAGCTGCTGTGCTTCTGGTCCAGCTCTCTGCTAATACACCTGGGGAACAGGAGAAAGTGGCTCAATTCCTTGGGCCCCTGCACCCAGGTGGGAGACCTGATGGAGCTCCCGGCTCCAGACTGGCCCAGCATTGGCATCACAGCCATCTGGGGGGGTGAACCTGTGCATTGAAGATATCTCTGTCTCTCCTAACTCTTTCAAATAAATCTTTAAAAAAAAAAGTTGAAGTGTATAGGATGGAGGAGTGTCTGAGGATGTACATCAGTCAGCAGAAATGATCAAGGCAAGGCAAGAATACTTGTCTGTCTGCTGTGAGAGGGGAGACCAGGCTGTCACATAGCAGACGCAGCAGTCACAGCACTGAGCCCCAGGTGCTGATAGGACAAGCTCACAGTTTCAGTTAGGATACAAAAGTTCAGAGGTGGGCATTTGGTCTAGTGGTAAGACTAAGATGCTTGTGTGCTGTATCAGAATTCAAGTCCTGTCTCTAGCTCCTGAATCCCGCTTCCTGCTAATGCACACCTTGGGAGGCAGCAGCAGATGGCTTACGAAGTTGAATCGCTGCCATCCATGTGGGAGACCAAGACTGAGTTCCTGGATCCAGCTTCCACCTAGCACAGACCAGTACTGGCATTTGGGAAGTGAATCACTGGATGAGAGTTTTTCTCTTGGTCTCTTTGCCTCTCAAATAGTAAGAATCCAAAGGTTCAATAAACACTTGGATAATTTGAATGAATTTATTCCAACATCCTCACTCCCCAGTGTGTTAAATCTAAACAAAAACATTGCTCAGATCTTCCACTTATGTTTATTGAACCCTCACTATTGTAGCTGACACAGTAAGTATCTGCCTCTGGATACAGAGCTTAAGATGGGGGCTGAGAGGGTAGGGAAGCAGACACTCAACAGATAACACACAAATGGGTGTTGCAGGTAGTCATTTTCAAAATAATCTGCTTTTTGATTCCTCCCCAAATTGTCCGAGACCCCATCAGTTCTAGTTTGAAAGCCTGGTTCTTGGTGCCACTCTGGCTCCATGTGTTTAGGTCCTCTCTCCATCTGAAAACCAGAAAACCCTGGCTCGAGTTCACCTGATCAGCCACCGGCTACAACTTTAAGCAAATCCTTTTCTACAGCTTTTTTTTTTTTTTGAAAGGCAGTGACAGAGAGAGAGGTTTTGCTAGTCTCAGTGTTCCATGTTGTCCCATTCTCTGGAAAAGCCTATTATTGAGGTACTTTCCTCTGTAAACGTGATATTGAACCTACCAGTGAGGCCTTTCTGAGCCTGCAGCTTCTTTTGTGGGAAGGTGTTTGATTACTGATGCATTTTCAACGACATGGGGCTATTTCTTCTTGGATCTGTTTCAAGTCGCGTTCTTACGGGAGTTTCATTTTTTTCAAGATTGATTTATTTGAAAGGCAGAGTTACAGAGAAGCAGAGGAAGGGGCAGGGGCAAAGGCAAGAGACAAAGTGAGAGATCCATCTGCTGAGCCAGGCCAAAGCCAGGAGCTTCTTCTGGGTCTTCCATGTGGGTGCAGCGGTCCAAGGACTTGGGCCATCTTCTGCTGCTTTCCCAGGTACATAAGCAGGGAGCTGGTTTGGAAATGGAGCAGCTGGGACTCAAACCGGTGCCCATATGGGATGCCAGTGCTGGCACTGGGAGTTTCACATTCACACTTTTGGCAAAAGTTACATCATCCCTTTCTGTAGCTGGCAGCATCTGTACTCATGACACCTTTTGCCACTCCTGAGACTGGCTATTTGTGCTTTTCCATGGATGAATTTCACCACTGGGTAGTCAATTTTATTATTTTGTTAACAATCAATTTGGGGCTTGAGGACGTCTTTTTATTTATTTGTTTATTTCTGCTTTTATCCTTACTTTGGAGCAAGAGTATGCTTTTACTTTTTTTTTTTTTGTTTTGTTTTTCTATTTGTACCTCTGAATTCTCAGCCTTCTTTTCACATGCTCATTTACGCCTAATCTATTCTAAGGATAGATTTAGCTTTCTCTTGGAAGTTTCCATATGTGATAAAGTTCAAGATGTTTCTAATTTCCATTATAATGTCTTTGTTGTCATTTTAGCAGCTTAATGCTTCTCTTTTGATTAAGAATTTCTGGTTATGTCTTGTTATTTAATTCTAGCATAAAGAATTTTAACAAATAATCCATGTAATTTCAACTTTTAAATTTGCTTAACTTGCTCTTGGCTTAGTATGTAGCCAATTTTCTGAAGTATTTTGAACATGTTTGAAAAGAATGTGTATGCAGTGCAGTGTTGTGTATGATCATAAATTTATTAACTTGTTCTGATTTCTCTTTCATGATTTGTTCTATCAAACTTTGAGAAACATAGCTAAACTCATCCCAATATGATTGTGAATTTGGACATTTCTCCTTTAAGTTCTTTAAATGTTGAGGTTAGTGGAGGGAAAAATGGAATGAATTTCAAAGAAGAAAAAGCTCACAACATTGTAAATATGAAGGCAGGAATGAAGATTAAAAAAGCAAACAGAAACAAAAACAATACAACCCTCAAGAGGGACCACACCATAAGGTGGATGTTCAAACCCAAACACAGTAGCCATAACACACTTAAATGGTTCATGGGCTCTAAGTACAGATGAACATTTGTCCAAACACGTTACAAGACCAGACCCAGCTGCGGGCTGTTCACCGGAGCCACATCTAAGATGCAAAGACACACAAGGGGCACGGCAAGTCTGTCCTGCCCGAGTGCCATGCTTCTGTTAAGAGGAAGCAAGGATCACTGGACATCACAGGCAGCCAGCTGTGGCCCTGGCACCACCCCCATTCCAGCCTCCCTGCCCTCAGACCCCTCAGTGGTGGCCTGGAGACATGAGGGTGGGGGGTGGGGCACTTCACTGCTTTTTTTCTTTTTTTTCAAAAGTGAATATTTGTGGCAGTGGACAGGACTGAGACCCAGGGACCCACTTCCTGAGTAATGGAGATAGCCACAGCTCAGGCAACTTCTTTCTATTCTATTCTGCGTTATGTCTCCTGAACTTATTATACAGCCTAATTGGATCTGGACTCCTGAATATCCTTGCCTGTGACAGCAGGCACAGGCGGTAAGGAGCTTGCTCAGTGGGGGAGGGCACTGCTGGGTGCTGGGTAGCCGTGCTGAGGAGGAAGACTCTCTTCCCAGCCATACAGTGAAAAGCTGTGCAGCAGGAGCAAGGTCCCAAACCACACCAAACTCCTTTTCCTCTGCATGCTGCATGGCTGGCATCGCAGCCACAAGGCAAAACTATCCTTCACCTACCACACACAGGTGTATGGTAGACCCCTCCCATGGACCCCAACACCTCCGTAAGGGAAATGGAGAAGGGAGTGGGAGGGGCCACAGGGAGGTCTTCTCGGCTCTGCTCCATAACCGAGTCCTAACCTCTTTCTATTGGCTCTAAAATGTGCCCCATGTTGCTTCCTGCATATTCTCTAAGGGAGCTGGGCTCATTCTCCTGAGTTCTTCAGGGCACTTCTGTTCTCTGCATCAGATGTAGCTGTGAGACTGTTCACTCCAAACACCCTACCCACCTGACCTCAGTAGTGCTGCTTCCATCACCTTGGCCCTTGATCTAGTCCTGAAACACTCTAACCTCCTGTTATCACCCGTCTGCCCTGCCTCCTCTCCAGTCTGCTCTGTGGAGACCTGGCTCCTCCCACCAGGGCAGCACAAAGACAGCTTCAGTTCTGGAGCCCCAGGCAAGGCTGTCTGGCCCACACTCACAAGGGAGGTGGAGCATAGGCCTTTGTGTGTCTCCAAAGGCGGGACTTTAGAGCCATACCAGGGCAAGCAGTGGCCCGCTGTCCTAGGCTTCCACAATAGCACACTAGATTCCCCAGAGCCCTGATGGCAGAGCTAAATGTGCCAGCCCATAGCTAAGCAGGCTTTCCCAGGCCCACGTGGTAAGACAGCTCAGTTCCTTAAAGATCTCTCAGATTAAATATGGAACTCAGGTTGAACTCAGCCTGAGGTAGAATGGCAGGCAGCCTGCTCCAGTGCACAGTCAACTGCTGGGAGCGGACAGCACAGAAGCAGGCCCAGTGACACTAGTCACAGCTTTTACAAGATGACCCCAAGGCCTGCCCAGTGTGTCATGGGCTGCGCCATACTCCCACCCCCACTTCATATATTGGAGTCCTAGGCCCAGAACCTCAGAACATGACCTGACTTGATAGAGTCTTTCTACAGGTAATCAAGTAACAGTGAATGCATGAGGGTGAACCCTAATTCAGGACAACTGGTGTCCCAGTACAAAGGGGCTGTGAGGTGACACATGTAGCAGATGCCTGTGAACACAAACATGGCCAGCTACAGCCGAGAGGACAGGCCCGGGGAGATCCCTCCCTCCCAGCCACAAAATCAACCCTGACAACACCTTGATTTTGACTTCTGGCCTCCAGAACTGACAAAAGAAAACATCGTCGTTGGATTCCTCAGCGTGTGCATTTTCCCAGGGAGTTGTTTGGGAAAGCTTTCCCCAGCCTTAGCTGAGCCCTGAGCCTTAGCAGCACGTTCCTGAATTCTCTCGCATGTGTCCGCAGGGGAGACACCATTGGCCGACCCATCCCCACTGTTCTACTGGCAAAACTCAGTCAACTGCACCCACCGTGGGCCCACGGAGTGTATGTTTTCAGGAGCCAAGGGCCTTTCCTTAGCAGCTAACTCTTTAATGTTAGAATCTACAGGGGTAAATCCAGCTGGGACCAAGGGGCAAAGTATTTCCAAAATGAGATCTGTGCCAGTATTTACTTCTGAGACCAGGGATGGCAGGTAGTGAAGAGTGCCCGCTTAGCTGCCCCACAGCAACAGGGGACACCCTGTGCATGTATATACATAACACACCTGTGAAGCTGGCCAGCTGGGGGAAGCAACATCCGATTGAACCTGAGCCAAGATAGCCACTCAGTGGCTGAGGAATGCACCCCCCTCCTGGTCCTCCTGAGCAGATACCACCCAGGGCCCGGCACAGTCAGGACACCAGGTGAGACTCCAGCAGTGGAAGGGCCAGGGGAGCAGGTGGTGAGGGAGACATGTCCCCAGGGAAAGCATGGCTAGGGTAGACATCCTGCAGGGCTAGACTGGTGAAGAACACAGTTAATGAGCCCCCCACCGTGGGTCCCTATGCTCACCACCCCACAGCTCCTCCTGGAGGGCTCTCTGTACACCCCCCAGCAGGCCGTTCAACTCCTTGGGCTGGCTTGAGATCCTGGTTGGTTCTGCATCTGCACTGGTGGCAGGAGAGGCCACCTGGGGAGGTAAGGCAACAGGCACTAAAGGGGGAGGGGGCACCTGGTGGCCCCCAGTATGTCTGAGGGGAGGGTGCCCAGTCAGCGCAGCATAGCAGCTGGGTGCTGAGGAGACAGGCTGCTGGGGTGGGCTGTGGTTGGGCCCAGAAGGCTCTGCAGGGGAAGCATCCGAAGGTAGCTGAGGCGCCAGGCGTACCCTCCCACGGGGGAGTCCTGGGGAATCGCCAGCCCTGCAGCCTTCTGTCTGCACCCGGAGGATCTTTGGTTTAGGCCTGGTGGGGCCTTTCTGTCTCCAGTAGGGCATATGTCTGCGACCAAGGCCATGGCCCCAGCGCGGTCCCTGGGGGAGGGTCCATGGCCAGGGAGCCTGGCCCTTTGACCCAGGGCCCCGTGGGCGCCTCCCCAGCCGATCCACTTGGGTCCTCATGTTGGCCACTTCCTGAGCCAGGCCTGCCAGGGCCGTAGCAAGCCGATCCAGCTTCTCCTCGAGGGCGGCACCGAGGTTGTGCAGCTCCTGCTGCAAGGGCTTCCCACAGTGGCACGCAGCTGGCAATGCAGGGGAGACGGCTGCCAGAGGGGGCAGCTCTGGCTGGGGAGACTCACTGTCCGGCTTGGGCTGGCCCCTGGGGAGCAGCCTCCCTTGGGTCCTGGCTGAAAGTAGAGCAAAGACCAGGTAAGGGGTCTTGGGATGTAAGGACCTTCCCCCTCCCTTCAGAGGTCCCCTGAACCAGTGTGTTAGGCATCCTCCCTTTCTAAGGCCTGGCTTCTAGAAGGGCAGGAAGGCGAGTTGAGCATGAGCATGTTATTACATCAAAACTGGCTGTCTCCTGGCTGTGCCCCAAGTTGATGGCAGGTCTTGACAGTGGTCTCCACTTTCTAGGAAACAATCACTGGATCCTTGTACTGCTGCTGGGACAAAACAGTGTGCCATGGCACCTACCCTGCTCCAGGGGTCAGTGAGAAGGCCCACAGCAGTGCCCCAATGCAAGGCCAAGGCCATGGGGGGCACTGGAGAAAGGGTCAGGAGGGTTCCCAGAGCCACTCAGCTCCCAGTGCTCTGGGTCATAAGCAAACCATGGGGCTTCATACTTTTCCTGCTCTGACTCTGTTCAGAAGGATTTTAAAAATTGAATTACTTTTTCAAAGTCACCTGACTTTTCAGCCCAAATTTCCCAGGATTGGCCTTGACTCCAAGCAGTGCTCACCAGGGAGTCTTGGCCCCGGTACCTGCCACTGTGAACCAGCTCAGCCTCAGAAAGGACACAGGGATCTGCTGCTCTTCCCCTGTTCCTCTGAGCCCCAGCTGTGGCTCTTCCCATCTCCTGTCACTAACTCTGGGGCTTCAAATGGAAGACACAATAAAGGCCGGAGTGGCCCACGCCTGAGTGCTGAGGCTAAGTGAGGATCTAGGGTGAGCCTGGAGACGCTGGGCCTGGCAGCTCCATCTGAGGGAGGGCCCCCAGCTCCCAGCCAGCCATGGAATCATCATTGCAGGCCACACTTCAAGTTCTTGGGGTAAGGCTGCTCCAGTATGACCTGGGCATGGGGTGTCACGCCCTCCCACCTGTCTCCACCATGGTTCCTCAGAGTGAGATGTGACACAGAGCCACAACTCTGGATGACCTGGGCCAGGCAGGGAACTCAACAGCACTGGGTCTGTTTTCTCATTTGTTTTCTAAAGTCCCCTCAAACCCCAAACTTTGGTTCTGGGACATTTCTTAATTTTTGCTTCTAAAAGGTGTGTCTGTGTGCTTTTATGAAAGTCCCAGCTGCTTCCTTAATAAAGCACTAAAATTATATATGCCACCTGAACAGCACAAAATGTTAAGATTTCTCCTACCCTTCTAACCCATGACCCAAACAATGGACTCAGAAGTGCTTCCCCAAGCTGGGCCGTGGTCCTGGTCTATGCAAAGAGCCACCAGCTCACCTGTAATACTGGGCCTTCTGTGCTCAGGCTCCAGGCCCCTGGGTTCTTCACCAGCCTCAGGCCTGGGCCTTTTCTCTAGCCTTGGGGCAGGGCAGGGACTCTCAGCTGCTCCTGCAGAAAGGGCACACAGAACTTTTTGTCAAACATCCTTTTGTTAGTCATTCTGACATGGGGGTCTTCGGATGTGGCCTCAAGAAACATGAAACTGTCAACTTTTAAATGGTTAATGACATGTAAGATGGCTGCCTCCAGTGGAATGGCCTGTGTGGCAAGGGTGTGCTTGCTGCACCTGCAGGAGAGGTGCACTGCAGCCTGAGAGCCTTCTGCAGCTCAGTAGTATGCCGCAGGATCCACGGGGAGGCGGCAGCTAAGAAACAGCTTCGATCTGCGAGTCACCCCACAGCAAGACTCCCCCAAAGATGTGCTGGGGCATCCCATGTGTGCTCAGTCCACTCTGCTATCTTTCAGTAGATCCACTGGGCAGTGAGAGACATGGAACAGTCAGGGCCTGCCCAAGGCAGAGGCCAGAACCAGTGGCAGGAGTGTTTTGGGGCAGGGCGGATGTTCCCTCCCTGGACAGTTTCCCCAGCTCAGTCCTTACTTCCGACTCTTCCTTCTCTGGCACTGCTGGGGGCACCAGGCTGGCAGTTGCTGTCTTCTCTCTCTGGCAACTGGGACCTGCCTTCCGTCACCTCTTCTGCTCTTCCTCCTAGGAGCAAATGCTGGGTCATAGCTTGGATGGAGAAGTGAGGCTTGGGGCTGCAGGCAGCATTTCTTTATGGGACAGCCACCAAAAAAATTCTCCCAGGTAGGGAACTTTCACTTCTGATTTTGTTTTGTTGTTACTGATTGCCAAGTTTTTAACATATACATTATTATACCTATACTTACATATGTGTTTGCATATGTGTATATGTATGTATCATTAAGGGTATATACAACATATGTACCAAGTGGACTCCCCACCCTGTCAATGTTCCAGGGCTCTGCTGTTGGACATAGCTGATATTGCAGGGACCCAAAGTCCAACAAACGCAGAGGACATTCTGGGGAGAGCCAGGCAAAGCGAAGAGTGGAATGCAGAGAATCAGCCTGCAGTCCTGGCTCACTGGGGTCCCCGCTCCTAGGAGATCCCAGGCTCACCTGCACTGACGTTGCTGCAGCTTTGGGGTTCTGTTCTCCCGGGGGCTTCACCAGGACTGCTGCCACTGCTGCCAGCAGGGGCCCTACCAGGGCTTGGGGACAAAGGGACAGGATGCCTACAGCTGGGAAGGCGGTCCCTCTCTGGCATCGTAAAGAAAGCTGGCATCAGAACTGTGACCGGTGGGTACCCTGGAGCTCAGCACCCTCTTCCAGCCACCCCCAGCCTCACCCTGGCTCACCCTGCAGGGGCTGCTGCCAGACCTCAGGCTCCAGCCTCAGGTCTTCTCCGTCAGAGCTGCTCAGGCTGGAGCTGGAGCTAGGGCTGGGGCTGGGGCCAGGGCCAGCCAAGCAGGCAAAGCGCAAGGGCCTCACTGGCAAGATCTCCCGCAGAGAGGTCTCCAGGCAGTGCAGTGGGGAGGGTCTGGTGGGTGCCCCTGTGCAAACGACAATGAGGGAGCCCACTGTCCAGCCGATAACAGCCAGGAGGACTCAGCTTTAGTGAGCGGGGTATATAGAACAGGTTCCTTTCTGCTAGCCTACAGCTCCCATGGTCACTAGAATGCCCCGAACAATTACTTTTTGTCCTTAGAGATGGGAAGAAGTGAAGCTGGAGCTTGGCCAGGATGTGGCCAGGTCCCTGGGCACCCTGGAAAAATACTTTCCAGAGGTCTGAGGTCCCTGGAAGCCACTAGTGGTCAGGTTTCAGCCAGGCCTTGGGTCTTACAAGCCAGGAACCCCTCCCCAATTCAGGGATGGCCAGGCTGAGCCTGGTGGGAAGGTGAGGATAACCACTCACAACTAGGTCATCCTCCCAGCCCCCAGTGGCTGACCCAGGAACTCTGCTGCAGTTACCTATGAGGCAGCTGCACAAAGAGGGAGACCCCCCTCAACCACAGGGAGGATGGCCACTGGAGAAACCCAATGGTGCACAAACAGTCTTCTTCCCATTCCCTCCTTGTCAGTACTCTGGGTCACTTTATCTTCCTCTTTAGCACACCTCAGCTTCCATCCTCTGGGGAAGGAATGTGAGACAGGGAAGTAACAGAAGACCAGAGAGAGAGAGAAATCTATTTCTCTATCAAAAACTTTAACTGCAATGAAAATATGCCAGTAAATACTGAGAGTGGAGGTCAGCTCACCATCTTGGAGCCACCTCTCAGGTCCTGGCCTGGCGGTCCTGTGGTCTTTGAGCCCTCGCTGGTGGCAGGCAGGGATGCAGCTGGAAGAGAAGGCCTGTGGGCTGGCCAGATGGAGGCTCCTGGCGGGTACTTCTCCCCCACCCTGCCCGGGATGGGCTGGCTCACAGGCCTCGCCCCTCAGTCCTGTTTCAATGAGAAGCCAAGAGGCCTGTTAGCCCCTGGATCTTGTGCTAGCACAGTACTGACACAATTGGGGGTCTTAGGCACAAAAGTGATGGTTGTGGGAATCATCTACCCAGATATTTTCCCAGGAGCCTGCCCAAATCCTCCAGGATCTCTTTATTCGCACACCTAGCTACATGGTCTCCCAGGAGCCCCACAGCTATGTGGAGCTGCCACGGCCAGGGTGAAGATGCTCAGCTGACACTTGGCTCAGGCCTGGACCCTGGAGCACAGATGGAGGCACTGGGGCAGCCCCACCCCAGACGTGAACTATCACTCCCACACCAGCCAGCCTGCACCTGCACTGAGTGGATCAGCTGGCTTTCTGGCCTCAGATGAGTCTCTGCCCATGCCTGTTTCCAGAGCATCTTCTGAGTTCAAGTGTGGATCTGCCTTTTGGGCTGCCGGGGGTAGCAGTGTTGGAGCCACTTTGTCCTAGTCCCTGACACCCGCAGTGGCCGCTGTGTTACCTTCCTTGTCTGCTGCCCAGTTCCTGAGTTCCATTCTCCTTGGTCCCCTGTCTGCTGCTGAGGAGCAGGGCCAGGCAGGCTGTGGCCTGGGCACAGGTATTTCTTTGAGACAGTTCTCTAGACCCTGGAGTGGGGAGCTTCCCAGTGGGCTTCCTGTGAAGATCAAATATTTGCATTCTTGGATGGCTATAGCTTGGGCTCTGCAAACTTCAGGAGCCCTCAAGCCCACCTAACACAAGGTACCTCATCAGCTCTGGTTTCAGCAATCCCAGAGCAGCTTCTGGCACAGGCACGACACTGACTCAGGCCCGAGACTTGGTGGGCAGGAGGCCACACATCCTTTCCTTGCTGGACTCCAAAACAGGTGGGCTCACTCACCTTTCCTGGGCCACTGTCCCTGGTTTCCCACAGGGCTTCCAAAATCCAGGTCCCCATCAGTGCTGCTGGCAGAGGAGAAGCCGGTGGGGGTGCCTCGGGGGCCTGAGGGCCGGGCAGGGCCTTCTCTCACACAGCCCCGTGGGGCCAGATGCAGAAGAGGTTCCTTGGTTACCTCTGCAAGGAACAGCACAGCTGGAGTCAGAGGACAGCCCTCTGAGGAACAGGCCCATGAGCCCTGGAATGGACAGGCATCAGGAGGTCCTGCCCGAGGCGTCACCTACTGGGGTTTCCCAGGGCATGGATTATAAGCCCACAGTGCATCAACCCACATTCCCCATGGTCAGTACCCTATGGCCAGAGAATTCTGAGAGGGGAGCAGGGCAGGAAGTTGCTAAATGGTTTTCAGTAAATTTGGGGAACTGTTAGGGGGTGGGCATGAAGGAGAGGCTGGAGGGAAGATGACTTAGCATTGTCCTCAGCAGCCCCCTCAACCAGTGCTGTTGTATGCAGGGACAAACACCACCCCACGCCCATGGATATTTACCTTCACTATGTGATCCGTGAGGACGCAGCTCGGGCTTCCGAGACCCAGGGTCTCCTGGTTGGGGGCTCTGGGACCAAGAGGCGGCCAGTGGCTGGGGAAGGGACGACACACTTGGGGGAATGCCCTTCAGACAGGCCTCCAGGGCTTCCAGAGGTGAGCTTGAGGCCCTGCCAGCTGGGACAGGAGAGACCACCCTGTTACCATCTCTCGCATGCCCCAGCCATGCCTCTCAGCTCCTTTAGCCTGCCTTTTGTCAGCGTGACGAGCATGCACCAGGCTCTAGGGAACCTGTCAGGCAGGAAACCCTCCTTTGGGGGATTTCTGGTCTGCTCTCTGCTCCTCTGGAATGAATGAAGAAAGATGTCCCTAGGCCCAAGGAGAGGGTAGGAAGAATCACGTGTTCAGTTTTTAAAACAGAGGGATGCCTGGGTAAGGACCTAGATTGAGGAGCAGGTGGACTCAGGGGGGTGTCACTGCTTGGCAAGAAAGGTCAGGGACAGCCTCCTGGGCAGGCAGGCAGGCAGGCAGGCAGGCACCTCTTCCTGATGGGATGGCAGAGCCTTATCCAGGGCCTGAGTCCTACAAGAGAGGAGCAGATGACTCATGACTCACCTTGAGCCACGGGGCCCCAGTAGGGTGCTCGGACCCCTCTGGTGTCTCTGGAGGTAGAGAGGCTGGGAATCTGCATGGTAAGCTGGCAGGATGTGGGCACTGGCGGACTCTGGGTCCAGCTGTCTTCCATCTTCACCACAGCGAGCACACTGCCAGAGCCAGGACCAGGGTGGGGAGGCGGTGTCTGGTGATGTCCAGGCCCTGTGGGAAGGTGGCCACCAGGAAGGCCAGGTTTCAGGCCTGATCTCAGCTTCAGTCTCATGGGACCTTTATAGGGTTAGGAAGGGCTTTCCAGACGCCTCTGCCTCCGTGGCAGTCACCAGCTTAAGGTACAGTCACTTCTCTCTCAGTAGCACAGAACCAAATCACACTCTTCCTGCTGCCCAGGTCCCTCTGGGGTGTCTCCTGAAGATCCACTGAGGCCCTGAGTCTGCACCAGTGAGCACCAGATCCGATTTTTCTCATGGCCAGCACTAGGTCAACCTGGGTCAACTCACTTTCTCTTTATTTAGTTCTGAGAAGCTGACATGCATAGAAATGGTACCAAGCCCAAACACAAGAATGCCCAAGTCACAGTTATGCCCTAGGCTAGATCCCTCCTATTCCCTGGTCTCCCCTGCTATATCCCATCACCATCTCTTCCTCCCTTATGGAAGCTTCAGTTCCTATTCTGAAAGCCATCTGGGAAAACTGTCAAGTAGTGATTGGCCATTTCCTAGACGCCTCGCTCCATCTACACAGTGGAACCAGCCTCTGGTTCCTGACCAGCTACTGATGCTGGGCTTCGAGCAGGGAGAAAGGAATGGGTACGTAGGGAATGGGTGGGGTGTGGGGGCTCTCCCAGCGCAGTGAGTGGCCTTTACCTCCGGAAGTCCTTTTCCAGGCCCCTGGCTCCTCTTGCGGCTGTGGGTCCCTTGCTCGAGAGGGGTTGGGATGCCTGCCCCGGGCCTCTGGGATCTCCTTCAGGCAGTTCAGCAGGCCCTGGAGGGGACAGTCCCCTGATGCTGTCTCCGTTTTTACTAGAGGAAAAAGGAACATGTTTCTGTTTGACTCTGTGTTCTCAGTCTTCATAACAAAGAAGGGACAACCCTTGTGGGCAGTTAAAGAGGATTTAGAGCCAGAAAAACAGGAATGGGGGTAGTCTCATGCCCCGCTGAAAAGTGCCTGTCCGCACTCCCAGAACTGAAAGGCTGAAAGGAGAGACAGCAGAGCACTAGAGTGTCCTTGAGGCAAGCAGAGGGGGAAGGAAGGGACCTGCAGGCTGGACTGGCACATGGTTCCTGGGGTCTTGAGCAGAACTTACATTTGGGGAGCACAGGGCTTTCACGTTCTCTCTCTCTCATACACACACACACACACACACCCCCACACACACATACACACACGGAGCATGGTATTCTGGGTAAGCTCACTATGACCCTGAGGTGAGAAAATTGGGATTGGGCAGCCTTGTACATCCCTGCCCCCACCCCCGGCCCTGATCCAGAGCCCATTCTGAGTGCCTCACCAATATCGGCACAAATGACACTGGCATGCCACATCTCCTCTGCCCACTGTTCCCTTTAGGAAGGGCACACACCACAGAGGGAAGCAGGGCCAAGTCTGTTTCTGGTTTTCTCTCTCAGTGACCAAGTACTGCCTTCAAGACAGCCACCTGGCTTCAAAACATGACCCTTGTGCCATCCTTAAGGGAGACATTTTGGGGCCACAAGACAGCAATGCAGGCTGTCCGGGGCTTCCGAGACCCGATGCCCAGTGCTCACCTGGCCAGGGCAGGCTGGCAGGCCCCAGCTCCACTTTGGTCAGCTTCGAGGAGACCAGGCTGGGGGGAGGAGGCAGTGGTTTTGGTGCCACCTCAGGGTGCTGGGGCCTGGGCACAGGGATTTCTTTCTGACTGCTGATGAGGCCCTGTAACGGGCTGCTCCCAGGAGAGGTTCCTGTAGTACATGCAAGGTTGCCAAGGTCAGCCGTGAGACCTGCAACAGCGTCTCAGGTTTCAGGGAGGCTGAGATTTGTGATCACGAGAACAGGTAAGGACTACCTTGAGGGTGTCACAGGGCCAGTATGGAGAGTGACACAACCTCCTCGCACAAGCTAAACATACCACCCCATCACACACCTCCCCATTGCGCCCTGTCTCAGGAACTCCAGCCTCTCACCTGCCCCTGGGGTGCCTCTGTGGCTCTTCCTCCTGCTGGGGCTACAGGTAGGAGGGCTGGGCTCCCCAGTTGGAGATCCTGGGCTTTCCTTCCCTGTAGACCATGGTTTATTGACAGTTTCTGCTGCAGGAGAGGACAAAGTCTTTGTAGTCCTGGCTCCAGACTGTGGGTTCACTCAGATCTGGTTTCCACAGAGGGCAGGCTTCTCTAGCTCCCCAAGTCTCTGCAGGGCAGCCAAGTCTTAAGAACTTGGAGTTGTGGTGGGGCCAGCTTATAGAGGGACTTACTCCAGAAGGGCTGAGGGCCTTCCCCGGTTCCCTTCTGGTTTAACTGTCAACACCAAAACTGCTCATCTGAACAGATGCTGTCTTTGAATTTGGTTCAGCAGGTGATGCTGACAGCCATAGCATCTACAGTCCAATCTCACACTCACACATTTTGTTGAAGGCCAGAGAATGTGCCAGGTGATATCTTAAATCATAGGAATGCCAATTATACTTCATAATAACTCAAAATATTTTAAAAAAACATTGATGAATGCAAAATATGTAAAAACAATTTAAACAAATGAAACCCCTGTGGTCTGCTATTAGGGTTGCTCTGATGAGAAGGTCTGGGAAGCAGTCCAGGTGGACACAGGGGCCTGCAGGATGCTCACCCAGGTGCACAGAACTCAGGGACTGGGGCTGGCTGCAAGGATGGGTGGGAACCAAGCCCCATACCATGTCTTCCTGGTCCACAGACCAGACACTGAGCTTGTTGTCCTATTCCCTGCAGAGCTCTGTCTTTATTTAGTAATGGAGCAAACTGAGTCCTAGAGAAAATGAAGAGGCCACAGGCTCCAAGTCCTTCTACTCAGGGCCCTAGAAATGTTGGTTTTCTCTGTCCTTGCTGGGTAAGACTCACGGATGGGGAGGGGGCTTCCCTGCCCCCTGTCTCCGAGGAGGCCACTGGAGGATGAGCTGCCACTGGGCGTGGTGGCCAGGCTCTGCCAATCACTGGGGCTGTCCGGAAGGCAGCTGAGCTGGCTTTGGAGAGGACAGTTGTCTACTGCCACAGCTGCTGCTGTAAGAGGTAGACACCAAAAACTGGTAAGATGTCCCTGGAACTGCCACAATGTGGACCCTTCCTTGCCACATTGCTCTAACTATGACCAAAATGTCAGTAATGTGTGCACTATCACCAGTGAGCACTGAAACATTTATAGCCAAATTCACAAAACAGAAAGCAGCAGCTCTCCAGGCACATGCCCACCAGGCTGTGCCTCTGCCCATACTTTCTACTTCATTCACCGTCAACTGAGTGGGGCTAGAGGGATAGCCAGGAGCACACAGGGAGCAGTGACTTGTAAAAAGGACAGTCAGTGAGGTAGGAAGCACACAGGGCTGAGAGGAGACCAGGTCCTCACTTGCCACTCACACAAGGCATGGCTTCTCTTTCTTCCTCATCTGTGAAACAGGGACTCACACACATGGCCCTCACCTGCCATGCAGGGCACAAGGAGACAGGGTGGGGTCACCGGGGGTAGCTGGATCTATGTGGAAACCACTGTGGGCAAGTCAGAGCTTCTTTCTCACCCATTGTACCCCAGATGCTCAAGGGACAGGCACACAGCCAGGCATCAGGAACTGCTGGTAACTCTGCCTCCCTACACATGCCTGGGATCTGGCAGGGGCCACAGGCATAGTGCTGTGGACTGGAACTTCACCTGTGCAGTGCAGATGCTGTCCTGGCTAACTTACCTTCGGAACTTGCTCCATCCCCATCCAGGCTGGCTCCTCGGCTCTCAGGGCTGTCCACAGTACCCTTGACTTCTCTGAACAAGAACTCTGGAATCTCCTTCACCAGCTGCACCAGGGCCGTAAGGTGCAAGCTATGCTGGGGTTTTCCTCCTATGGAGAAGTCATAGTGAGTCCTGTGCCCTGCGTCTGCTCAGCAGGATTTGCGTGCCCTGCGTCTCACACATTCCTCCCAGCCCTAGCAGCTGCCAGGGGCAGCCCATGTCCTATGAGATACAGAGGGCATCTGTTATAATAAGGTTGGGTAATGTGCTTCTTCTATGCTCTGCTATTGCTTATGTCTCCTCCTTTTGTGGATGTGGAGTGGAACAGTGACTGCAGAGTCCTGACTAGGCTGGGACAGTCTCTGAGTTGTAAGGAAGCCAGGAATTCCAGATTTCAGCAAGTACGTTAAGGAGTCAACAGGACAGAAGGAGTTAGCTTGATGTCTTAGGGCCATTATAAGAAGACTGATGACTAGCCATGAGTGATTGACAACCCCACCATATGCTCTTCTTGCAGGGATAACATAGGAGTGTGGGAATGTAGTGGACTCTTCCTTCAATAACCAAAACTTAACTGTCACCACATATATCCTCCTTTGATTTCTGATGCATGAAATAAAGTTGCCTTGTTTAAACCAGACTCAAAGCACACACTCACTTGTAAAAAAAAAATGTATAAAGCTTGTAATAATGACTAGAAGCTCGTGAGGCAGCCTGCTTAGCCTGCCTGTGCACATACACCCTAAGACTTTTGGATAAACTCTAACTTTGCTTTGGCAACCAGACTCTGATGAACTCCAGCAACACTGCCCTCGCCTCTCCTTCAAGGGAATGTCAATGAGGGCTGTCTCCACATCCTCCATCTGGCCTTTGGTCTTCCCTTTACCCCATAACTTCCAGGCTTTGCCTGGTCTTGGTCCTGTGGACATTTGGGAGCTGCTGGCTGGCTCTGTAGAGGTGTTCAGATAAGGATTCAGGTGGTGGCTAGGGGGTGGGGAGTGCTTTCCAGGGTGACCCCAGGTTTCTTCAGAGCATTTTGCATGTATAACATACATGTAAGAGGCTCTGAGGTCAGAGGGGTGAGGGGTGAGAATCAGGGAGTATTGGGCTGGGGAAGCACAACAGTGGGGAGGGCACTGGACAAACAGGTTAAGGTCACAGGAATCTTGCCCCGGGGCTGAGGACTAAGTAGGAGAGAAGGCCTAAAGCTGCTAAGGACTTACCCTGGGGGCCTCCCCTAGCAAGAGGCTCTTGTCCTTTATCAGCACGTTCCCCTCCCCCTATTGCTCTTCCAGGCTCCATAGGTGACAGGAAAGCAGAGAGGGGGAGCAGCTCAGCTGTCCCTGAGAAGAAAAGAGGGGACAGTCTCCCTGGGACTGGAGGGGACTCTGCCCTCCCAGTCACATCTTTATGTGCACATTTGTATGGTCACCCAAACTCAAAAGACCCTCAGAGGCCACTATGCATGCCCACAGGACTGTACCCAGAACCCTACAGGGGTACACAGAAACTGCACTGCCTTGCCCAGTCCTGAGCTCTCTGACAGTCTCTGGCACTGTCCATCCCACAGATGACAGACTAAGGTCCAGCGAGTCCTGGGATCCCGTGGGGGCTCAGCACCTTGGGATGGGGCTCTGGCCTCCCTCCCTCCCACATCCACCCCTGGCTGCTGCCTCCTGTCCCAGGGGAGGCCCAGCAGTTCCTTACCCACAGATACCAGAGTCTCGTAGTTCTCACGCATCACCTCTCGGTAGAACTCCCTCTGCCTCTCCTCCAGGAGCCGCCACTCCTCCTCAGAGAACCTCACGGCCAAGTCCTTGAAGGTGATGGTCACCTGTGGGTACAGTCTCCAGGGGGGTTGGCTGGCCCCATGCCGGTGAGGCCCAGCCCAGCTGTCCCTCAGCTTGTTGGCCTGCCGTTTTTCCCAGCAGACACTGGCAGGTGGCAGAGCAGTGAACACAGGTGGAGGCCTGACACACAGGAGCAGCAGGAATGGGTCCCAGGGATAGCGTTGGGGATGAGCTGGGTGCCCCAGAAAGACATGCTGAGGTTCTAAACCCTGGTCATGTGAATGCAACCTTATTTGGAAAACAGGCAATGGCAGATGTAGTTAAGATGAGGTCACAGTTCTAAGTAGTGTGGTCCCTTCATTCAGGTGACCAGGGCCTTTATGAAAAGAGACTCAGAGATGGAAACACAGGAAGAGGGAGGCAGAGATGGGAGCAACACTATCAGAAGTCGGAAGAGGCAAGGATCCTGCCCTCAAGCCTTTAGCATGAGTGCGGCCTTGCCAATACCTTGATTTTGGACCTCTGGCCTCCAGAACCATGGGAGAATCAATTTATGCTGTCTTTGAATCACCTGGTTTGTGGCAGTGTGTTATGGCAGCCACAGGAAACTAATGTGACAGCCTCATGCCCATGACCACTGAGCTCAAGCAAAAGTCAATCCCAGCAAGCCCTATTTACCATGTTAGAGAGTTAATAAAAGCAAACTTCCCTTTGAATCCCCGGGATCCTAGCAATGTGGCATTAAAGGAAACAAAAGAAAAAACGCCTTACCAATAAAATCAGTATTAGGTTGAGTATTCTTTACTGGAAATGCTTGGGACTAGGAATGTTCTAAATTCTGGAATATCTGTATATACATCATGAGAAATCTGAGGGAGGGAACCCACGTATATTCATGAAATTCATTTATGTTTTATAGATACCATACACACACAGCCTGAAAGTAATTTCTTGTAGTATTTTTAGTGCACCCTGTGTTTTGACTGTGACCCAGCACATGAGGTCAGGTTTATAAAAGGGCACTCAGAAAATTTTGAAAAAATTTGGATTTCAGATTTTTGGATTGGGGATGCTCAGCCTGTATAACAAAGAAAAAACAAACACTACACACACACACACACACACACACACATGTATATATATGAGTATATATGTATGTATATGCATATATGTATATCTATGTATATATACTTTATTTATTTATTCGACAGATTTAGACAGTGAGAGGGACAGAGAGAAAGGTCTTGCTTCCGTTGGTTCACCCCCAGTGGCTGCTAAGGCCAGAGCTACGCTGATCCAAAGCCAGGAGCCAGGTGCTTCCTCCTGGTCTCCCATGGGGGTACAGGAGCCCAAGCACTTGGGCCATCCTCCACTGCCTTCCAAGGCCACAGCAGAGAGCTGGACTGGAAGAGGAGCAACTGGGACTAGAACCCAGCACCCCTATGGGATGCTGGTACCGCAGGCAGAGGATTAACCAACTGAGCCATGATGCTGGCCCATGTATATATATATACATACACACATATATATTTTTTAGCATAGATGATACAATAGTAATCAAACAAATCAAATGTTTATATTATTCTTCCACGTACTGTCCAGAGAAGCAATAAAAATCTCAAAGAGCCTTGCAGGTCTAGGGAATTCAAGTTTTCCCTCACTAGGACAGACAGGTAGATGGTAAACAAGCAGGAATCCCAGGCCTGTCCCTCTGGCCCATGTTTGCTTGATCCTCAGATTCCATTTCTATGGCCACAGCTCTTCCATAGGCCCCTGGCTGGCTGGCTGGCTAGCTCGCAGGCTTTTGCTGGGCTGGGCTCAGATGAGTCCAGGTCTTGCCTGCCTTAGAAGCTCCACCTGTTCCGAGTCACCCCACCGGGGCCAGCTATAGTCATCTCCACTGCCATGACCTATGGCATCATCATCAGACTCCTGTAGCACTTCCCCTCAGAGACCCTGTAGCACATAAGCACTAAGCACAATGGGAGGTGACACCGCTGAAGTCATTCTGGCCCCAGTCCTGCCTTTCCTACCTTGCCACATCACCCTCACTCCTCGCCCCTTGCCCCTTGCTGCTTGGAGCTGTGAATGTCTCAGAGAAGTGCTCAGAAGAAAGCACTGGAAAGCTGATTCTTCCATGCCCTGTACTCCTATCTTCTAAACTCACTGCCTACTAACTCACAGTTTTTTCAAGAAAAAAGCAACATTTTTGTCTGAGATTCTTTTTTTTCTTTTTAAAAATTACTTATTTATTTGAAAGGCAGAGTTACAGAAAGAGAAGGGGAGAGACAGAGAGAGAAAGGGAGAGAGAGAAAGAGGGAGAGAGAGCGAGAGATCTTCCATCTGCTGGTTTACTCCCCATATGGCCACAGTGGCTGGGGCAAGGCCAGGCCAAAGCCAGCAGCTTCATCCTGGTCTCCCATTTGGGTGCAGGGACCCAAGCACTTGGGCCACCTTCCACTGTGTTTCCCAGGCCATTAGCAGGGAGCTGGATGGGAAGTGGAGCAGCAAGGACACGAACTGGCACACATACAAGATGCTGGCGTTGCACGTGGTGGCTTTACCTGTTATGCCACACTGCCAGCCCCCTAAGATCCCTTTTTTTTTTTTAAACTTTTATTTAATGAATATAAATTTCCAAAGTACAGCTTATGGATTACAATGTCTTCCCCCCTATAACTTCCCTCCCACCCGCAACCCTCCCCTTTCCTGCTCCCTCTCCCCTTCCATTCATATCAAGATCCATTTTCAATTCTCTTTATATACAGAAGATCAGTTTAGCATATATTAAGTAAAGATTTCAACAGTTTGCACCCACATAGAAACACAAAGTGAAAAATACTGTTTGAGTACTAGTTATAGCATTAAATCACAATGTACAGCACATTAAGGACAGAGATCCTACATGAGGAGCGAGTGCACAGTGACTCCTGTTGTTGACTTAAAAAATTGACACTCTTATTTATGGCATCAGTAATCATCCCAGGCTCTTGTCTGAGTTGCCAAGGCTATGGAAGCCTTTTGAGTTCACTGACTCTGATCATATTTAGACAAGGTCGTAGTCAAAGTGTAAGTTCTCTCCTCCCTTCAGAGAAAGGTACTTCCTTCTTTGATGACCTGTTCTTTCCACTGGGATCTCACTTGCGGAGATCTTTCATTTAGGTCTTTTTTTTTTTTTTTTTTTTTTTTTTTTTGCCAGAGTGTCTTGGCTTTCCATGCCTGAAATACTCTCATGGGCTTTTCAGCCAGATCTGCATGCCTTAAAGGCTGATTCTGAGGCCAGAGTGCTGTTTAGGACATCCGCCATTCTATGAGTCTGCTGTGTATCTCGCTTCCCATGTTGGATCGTTCTCTCCCTTTATTATTCTATCAGTTAGTATTTTCAGACACTAGTTTTGTTTATGTGATCCCTTTGACTCTTACTCCTATCATTATGATCAATTGTGAACAGAAATTGATCACTTGGACTAATGAGATGGCATTGGTACATGCCACCTTGATGGGATTGAATTGGAATCCCCTGGTATTTTATTTATTTGAAAGAGTTATAGAGAGGTACAGACAGAGTGAGATCTTCCATCAGATGCTGGTACACTCCCCAAATGGCTGAAGAGCTGGAGCTGAGCCCATCTGAAGCCAAGAGCCAGAAACTTCTGGGTCTTCCATGTGGGTGCAGAGGCCCAAGGACTTGGGCCATCCTCCGCTGCTTTTAGCAAGGAGCTGGATCGGAAGTGGAGCAGCTGGGACTTGAACCAGTTCCCATATTGGATACTGGCACTGCAGGCCGGGGCTTTAACGCACTGTGCCACTTTGCCACAGTGCCAGCCCCAGCCCTAAGATTCTTTAAAAACATTATACGGCGGACTTTAAAACAATCATAGGATCCTAAAAATTATCAGCATCTGACAGGTATGAATTTCAAATTATGGCCAGAATTAACTTTGTGTGAATTAAGCAAAGAGAATGTGAATTATGGGAAGGGGCTTTCTGGTTTAGTAATAAATGCTAATCCCCTTATTTGTAAGACAGAATTATTATAGAAAAAGAAAACATTCCTAATCTACTGCCTTGTTTTATCTACTCAAGCCGCTGATTTTAAAAACTGTCACTGCTACTAGATGGCAACCTTGTCACCCACTCACTGCCACGTTCTCTGCCTGCCACCCTGTGACAGCTGACAGTTGCACCACGCAGTCACACCCACTTGCACTCTGCTCTCCTTCTGAAGGGGTCAGAACCCATCAACACGCCCTGCTAGGGGCTTGCTTGTTGTCCAGAGGTCAAGAGGCCATGGGCAGGCAGATGCACTTCCTACCACCTCCACATCTGGGCAGGCAGCCCAGTGTCCCTCTGTCAAGAATGGTCTCAGACACCCTCTACAATGCTCTGAGAGCCTTTTACCCTTCTTCCTCACCTTGGACAGATCCATGCAGCCAACAGCAGAGTCTATGCCAAAGATCTAGGAGGGCACATCTGAGACTGCTCTACTGGAAAGTCCCACTTGGAAGGTGGGGCCAAGACTGGCATCTGGGAGCATGGATTTCCGGAGGCTTTCCACACTTCTCTAGATGAGACAGTCACCGTGCCTGGTTTGTTTCCTGAGCCTCTGCTTTCCTTCTGGGAGTCTGGAATGTCAGCACGTGCTAAGCAGAGGGTGTCTGTGTGACTATCCCCCAGGAACAACCCTGAGCACTGATTCTCAGTGAGCTTCCCCAGTCCCCAGTAGAACAACATGGCACTCGTGTTGCCACAATCCCATGTTGGAAGAATTAAAAGGATCTATGGGACCCTAGAAAACTTGCCCATGGTTTCCTTAGATGCTGTCCTCCATCCTCCATACCTTGTCCCTTTGCTGAATTTGCTGTGTATCCTCTCACTGTGATAAACCTTAGCCAGGAACACAACTACCCACTGTGTGCTCTGAGTCCCTAGTGAATCTCTAAATCCTGGATGGTGCTGGGGCCTTGACACAGGGCCATCTCAGTCCCCCCACCATGCTGGTTACTCCATCCCTCCCCTGAGGTCTACGTGTACTCTCCGCTATCCCTTTTTCCTTTTTTCCCTTCTGTAGTCATCTCCCCACCAGCACTGAGGCTTGGGAACCACAGGGACTGGCAGAACAGGAAAAGACCCCAGGTTGTCAGCGCCTCAGCATCCTGGAAATGAGTCAACCTCCCTGACCCCCGACTACAGTGATTGACTTGGGCAAAGGCACAGACATGTACAACCCAACCCCCGTCATGCTGACCTAGTAGGGTAGCTGAGGCAGCCTGAAGGGCTGGAACCAGATCAATAGCACCATAGTCTGCCCAAAGAAAGGGAGTGCCAAATGCAAAGGAACCGTTTTGCAAACCAAGTCCGGAGAAGGGCACTGGTGTCCTAGCTTTGATTGTGAGTGCTCTGTGCTCACCATGGGGCTCCACCTTGCCAGGTGTCAAGTTCGGCCAGCAAATGTCCAAGCTCACCAGGCAGCTTCCCATTAGTGCAAGCATTTAGGTTCTATAGGTGCTGTAGTTTGTGTCCCCCAAAGTTCACATGCTGGACACTTAATCACCAGTGAGAGGTGATTATGTCATGGGGGCCAGGCCCTTATGAACAGCTTAGTGCTGCCTATCAAGGGAGTGGGTTCCTAATAAAAGGATGAGTTGGGTCTTTCTGTTCCCTCTCTTGTGCATACTCTCTTGTTTTTCCATCTTCCACAAGGGAATGACACAGCAAGAAGATCCCTGCCAAATGCTGGCACCTTGATCTTGAACCTCCTAGCCTCTAGAACTACAAGAACTAAATCTCTGTTCTTTATAAATTAACCAGCACACAACAAACAAGACTTAATCAATCACCATATATTTCCAGCCTTACTGTCAGATGTATTTTTCACTGTAAAGTAACCAAGTGGCTTATTCTGTGTCTTAGTTGGTTTTCTGTTGCTACAATAGAATACCTGGAACTGGAGAACTTATACAGAAAACAGACTTCTTACAGTTCCAGAGAGCTCAGGGTTTTTTTTTTTTTATTTTTTATTTTAAAATTTTTTTGTGCTATAAGCATGAGTAATTTTATTAACATATTTTGAAACATATCCCAAACTTCTAGAATTCTGTAACATATAATAACATACAATGGGAAATGCTCAGTTTTAAAACAAGACCATGCCCTTGGTAACCCATGAATCCATGAGTCTGTTCTAAGGGTACAACCCTCATGACTGAATCACCTCTCAAAGGTTCTACCTTTCAAATATCACTGACGCTTGACTTTGGGAATTAAGTTTCCAACGCATTGTGTTTGGGGAACACATTCAAACACAGCATTCTGATTTCATCTATTGCTATCTCTGTGAGTTTGGTTAGTATCAGCTGATACCCCCGAGAACCATAACCTAGGGGTGCACTAGTCTATATCAGGCACTATACCTCTAAGAGTTCCACCCCAAACACACCCCAACGAAGCCAGTAAGATGACACACACCAGGCGGGCACTGCAGGCTCATCTTTCCCTTGCCTCCTGGTAGATTAGCACAGGGCAGAAAAGGAAGGTCCTCTAGGGAAGAGCACACTGACTCCAGTGACTGCTACACCACAGCAGTTAAGATGCCCTGGACACACAGACGGGGTTGCAGCATTGGTGGTTTATGGCTTCACCTCAGGTGCCAGGTGGCCAGAATTCTAACCTCAGTTTTGTTTCATATTAGTTATGGGACCAAATTACTCAACCTACTCGGACCTGAGCAACCGTGTCTTACAGTGTTGGGATCCTAGCAACCAACCTCACAGGAATGTTGTGAAGATGAAATGAATTAATACAGGAAAAGGGCTTGGAACCAATGCTGGGTCGTATAAAATGGCTATGCTTAGTATCACCCCAGACAGCTCCCCCCAACACACACACAGTGCTCCTGGCTCCCAGGGCCTCTTTATCTCCAGGCTAAATATATCCAGCTCTTTTAGACATCTGGAAGAGATGCTTTCTAGGCCTCTCACCATCTCAGCCTGCAGACAAACTTTTCTGTGACAAAGTTCTCATGAAATGCCAATGGGCAATGATTGGCCAGGGTAAATGCTTCTGTCAGTGGCCTCCTCTACCAGAAAAGATGCAGGAAGAGTGAGTGTGTGTGTGTGTGTGAGGGTGTGTAGCACCAAGTGTGAATGTGTAAGCATCTATCCTTAGGAGGAGGAAAGCCAGCAACGACTCACTATTCACGCCCATCCTTCTCAGGCTTTCCTTGGCCTTGCTACCTCGATCCAACAGGAGACAAGCTTTCTGGACTGCCCCAAGACTATTCTAGCCTGGCAGCCTCCTAAAACACTCAGTGACCACAGTCCCGTCCATCTCTCAGGGTCCTCCAAGTCTAGACCCACACTCCCAGTGCAGCCTGCTGCCCTCACCTACAGGCTGCCAGGCGTCACGGTGACAGTGGAATGGAGGTCTTCTCTGCTCCTCTCCATCTGACTGCTTTGCCACTCCTGGCCACCATGAAGCTACATGGTGTGAGGATGCAGCCATCTCTGAGGGTCACATCTGGCAGATGGGGGTGGGCAATCCCTTGGTTACAGAACAGGAAGCCATGGTATAAGCGGGTCTTAGGATGGGGCCAGTGGGCATATCTGAGCAGGGTGTCCCTGGGCTGCTTCGCTGTACAACTGCAGCTGCAAAGGTGACTGTCTCTGCCCAGCAATATCCAACTATCCTGGTTTCTGCCTCCTCCCAGGATGCCTGTGGGGCACTCACGACGCCAAGGTTCTGTCACAGCACCTGCTCTTCCTGGCCACACACTGCCCACCAACCAGAGCATTTACAGATGCCTGAGGCTGGTCAAAGTTCACACACACTACAGTTGGAGAACTGGCTCCAGGTGCCCACTCAGAAGAACACACAGCAGCTGCCGGTGGGCACCATCACCAGTATTCCTGGCATCTTCACAGCCTACACACAACTCAGCGCACACTGTGCCCATGCTATGACAGCAGATGGGCTCTCCCTCTAGCATTCGGATGTACACACCTCACCAGGACCAAACCTGGACCTGTTTTAGCTTCTATTTCTCCCCACTTCCATGTCGGCTTCCCTCGCATCCAGGTTCTGACCATGAATAAAAGTAGTCGATTTACCCCTTCCCCTGAGGCCTCTTGCACAACTCTCTCAGGAAAACTTGTAAGGAAGAGGACACACAGAGACGGAGCGATCCTTAACCCAAAGGAACACGTTTCCCCGGTGGGAAGGGGGCACTCGAGGTTTGCGTGTCCTGGGAGGGGGCGGGGAAAGCGGGCAGTGGGGGAGGGGGTGGCCCGAGGACCTGGACTTCTTGGTACGAAGCCCAAAGCATCAGCCCGGCCTGGCTGGGCACAGCGGATCCCAGAGTTAGTGGGTCCCGGCTCTTTCCCGCCCCCGTCGTCCCAGGGAGCCGCACTGCGCAGATCAGACGGGTCGAGGCGTCCCTCCGTCAGCGCGACCTCCCCGGCTCGCCTTACCTGGCGCGCCATGGCGGGACTCAGTCTCCCGGCCGCTCTTCGGCTGACCCAGTTTCCGGCGCGGGCCCAGACGCCTTCGCCCGCTCCAAGCCCGCAGGCTGCGCCGGGACACACAGCAGCGGTGGCCCGGCTCGGCGCGGGGGGCGGGTTGGGGAGCTCTGGCCTCAAGGGAGGGGCAGGGGAGGCGCAGCCGGACCCGCCCCGAACCTCGCCGAGCCCGCCCCCAGCGCTTCGCATCCCTGGAGGGGTGGTCCCGCTTCCGCCCGGAGCCCTGGACTTCGGCAGCTGTGACTGCGCAAGCGCGGTGTGCCCTTCCCAGAAGGATTCGCGGCACCAGCCCAGAATGGAGGTGGGGCGGCCCGGCGCTTCAACTCCGCCCCCTGCCCCCCAGCCCCGACCCCAAGCCCCCAGAAGCTGTATTAGGGAACCTGTTCGGTGATCCGCGAGGTACTGCTTGCGGGTGTGTAAGCCCGCGTGTCTTCATCATTCATTCTTCCTTTTATTCTGGCATCCCCAACATTTACTGAGAGTGTTCTAAGCAGGTGTCAGGTGGGGATTGTCGGAATAAAAGGGGACCTGTCCCTTCCACAGGCCAGAGTCAAGTAAACGACCTGGAGTGGGCAGGGGCCCGGGGGCTGCTGGCCCGACTGTGCGGGGTCCGGACGTAGTCGGGGCCAGAGTGGCTGCAGTACTCCAGCGCATCCTCAGATCTGTCACCCCGCGCCCTGGTTCATCACTGCGTTAACCTGTGTGCGACCGTATTTTGTTACGACACCTTGATCTGTGTTACATGTTTTGTTCTTGCACGTTAAACTGTGTTATTGTTAATGTAACAATTGACCCGTGTTCTATTTTGTGTGCCTGTTTTGTTGATTACAGTAACCATAGTCGTTGCTGGCATGTAGAAGACCTCGAATAAATGTTTGAATGAAGGGGAGGAAGCCGTGGGAGGATGGTGCACTCCAAGGGAGAGTGCACCAGGAGCCTCCTTCGCTTGTCTGGAGAAGGAGCTCAGAGAAGGGGGACCCCTGGGGCTAAGTCTCCTCTGCCAAATGGAAGCTTGGAGGGGCACAGGAAGCAGGGGTCCCGCGATGAGGAAACCCTGCTCTGAGCTTGGAACCTCAGTCCAGTGATGGGGCACCAGAGAGCCCTCTTCCCTTCGAGTAATCAAGGAAAGCTACCCCAGTGTTGTAGCAACGCTGCTTTTGTGTGGCTCGAGGCTGGCTTTGCAGTTTGCTCACTTTTCCAGAAAGCCGGGCTACCACACCCACGCCTTTGACGTGAGATCAGCCTGTGTGTGATATACCCAATCAAGAGCTGAAGAGAAAAGGCAAACTTCAAGTTCAATGGCTTATCGCCACCTCGTGGTAAGTCCCCTTGTCCCATCTTCTTGTTGGTCCCTTCTCCCAGATCTCACCCTAGTCCCAGGAACTCTCAACTTTAAAATTTCTTAAGCTTCAAAATGTTTATAAAAAGAGAGTAACCTCATCCAAGGAAGACACCCCTTTATTTATTTTTTTTAGAATATTTATTTATTTATTTCATTCATGGAGCTACGCCACTAATCTGGAGCCAGGAGCTTCCTCTGGGTCTCCTACACGGGTTCAGTGGCTCAAGGACTTGGGTCATCTTCTACTGCTTTCCCAGACCGTAGCAGAGAGCTGAATCAAAAGTGGAGCAGCCGGGACTCGAACCGGTGCTCATATGGGATGGTGGCACTGCAGGCGGTGGCTTTACCTGCTATGCCACAGCACAGCCCCACCACCCTTTATTTCACATGTACCACCTTGGCTCTCCTTTCTAACAGGACCTTGTGCTCAACTTGTAGATTCCGGTTGTCTGTCACTGAAAGCAGGTACCAACGTCAACATCAGATTTGTTGAATGGCTAATTCTTCAAATGATTGAGAAACCTCCTACCTTGCTCCTGTACCTGTGTTAGTGGACACAAAGGTCTGTTTATTTGGGGTGTCACCAAATAACCAACCTCAAGTGGGAGTTACTCAGAGGGAAGCTTTATTGTGGTAAATAAAACAGATATTGGGAAAGCACAATTTCTGAAAGAAACTGCCTCCTTGGGAAGCAGGTTTTTTTTTTTTTTTCTTTAATAGCAAGGATTAGGAGAGCATCCAGGATGTAGGAAAGGGGAAGAGGGAGGGTCTGAAATAACACCTTGATAGTAGAGGCTCCATTTTAGACCACCTGAGACTCCATCTTGAGAAAGCACCCTCCACTATGAGACTCTGGTCTGAAACTGTTTTAAAACTTAGACAATAACAATAACTGGTTCCCACTTGGCAGAGCATAGAAACTCTCTAGCATGATTGCTCAAGCTTAAAGCAGATAGGCTGCACCTGGATTCATGTTACAATTATAATTGAAATTGTTAAGATTGCCATTGGTGTTGCCAAGATTGTAATTGATACTAGTTTTGCATAAGCCTTGGGTTAGCTTGACCCTGGTAACCAGTGTATTCCCCCTGATCCTAGCAATCATGTATTCCCCCTCCTGTCCTTGTGGTTTTTGCCTTTATAAACCCTGTTGCTTTGAGCTTTGGGGTGGAGAATTCTTTAGGGCATGAGCCTGATCTCCACCCCTGGCAATAAAGGACTGTCAGATTGTATCAATGTGTGGTGCTCCTCTGTTTGCACTCAGGTAGGTACAACATCGTGCTGGCCCCAGCAAGATATGGAGACCACCCCCAGGAAGATCTCCTTCTAGGTTGGTGCTCTGGCCACAGGAAAGGCACCCCCTGATGATGTTCCAGGGTCCCGTGTCCTGATTCACCGACCTGGGAGGTTCGGCTCAACCTCTTCACAGACCAGTTTGCCTTAGGTCCTCTGGTAAGTCGACTCCTGTTTTCTAGTGGTGCTTTCTGGGTGTTTGGATCTCTGAGGAGACACCATCATAAGTTTCCTTGCAATTGAGTGTGACGGGGTTAGGAAGTGGGACTCTGGTCTGATGAAAGAAAGGCCTTTCCTGGATGTAGTTTGTTTTCCGTCATTGTGCTATTAGTCATTGCTGTTATTCTTGTCTCTGTCTCCCACTTGAAACATTAAGATGGGAGATTCTGGTCTGGTTAAAGAAAGGCTCATTCGCCTTTCCTGGATATGACTGGTTTCTGTTCCTGTTTCATAACCACTGTCCGATGTACTGTCTGCATCCATAATCCCAGGAGGTAACTTCTTTTCCTTGTCCGGCCTGTCCCTTTTATTCCCTTGTCTTCGGAGTCTCTCTGTCCCTTCCATTGAGCATGGGCTCTGCTCAGTCTAAGCCAACACCTTTTCTGTGTGTGTTCAAGAATTTCTCTCTTTTGAATCTAGAAAGATCAAAATTGCCTTAAAAGTTGCCTTGTAATTTGCCGAACTTGTTTTGTAACTCGACTTTTTACAGATCCAAATGAAAAATAGCAGTGGGGAATCAGCTCTATGGTAAATTTTACAAACTCTGGTTTACGTAACTGATTTCCAGCTGGAGTTTTGTGAATAGATTAGAATTCCATTTAAATGTAGTTTTGACCTTAATTCAGATAAAAGTATGGTATAATATCAGCAACTTAAGTCATCTAGGTGTAATCACTGAATGTAAATTAAATAAAGGAAAATGAGATGAATGTGTATACATGTAAACTTTGCTATGCTGAGCACCTTCTATTCTATAAAGAAAAAACTATTTGGATTTTCATTTTCATTTTCATAAACAGTCCATATAAAAAATAATTCAATACTGCTTAAAAATAACCATGGTTAAATTCGATATTATGTTATTTTAAAAAGTATTAATTTGGAGATTTTTAAAGGATTATTTCAAGGTCAATAAAAAAAATCAACAGATAGGGGCCGGCGCTGTGGCGCAGCGACTTAACACCCAGGCCTGAAGCACCGGCATCCCATATGGGCGCTGGTTCGAGACCCAGCTGCTGCACTTCTGATCCAGCTCTCTGCTATGGCCTGGGAAAGCAGTAGAAGATGGCCTAAGTCCTTGGGCGCCTGCACCCATGTGTGAGACACAGAAGAAGCTTCTGGCTCCTGGTTTCTGATCGGCGCAGCTCGGCCATTGCGGCCAACTGAGGAGTGAACCATCGGCTGGAAGACTTTTCTCTCTGTCTCTACTTCTCTCTGTAACTCTGTCTTTCAAATAAATAAAATAAATCTTTAAAAAAAAAAAAAAGGTCACGGCCGGCGTGCGGCTCAATAGGCTAATCCTCCACCTAGCGGCGCCGGCACACTGGGTTCTAGTCTCTATCGGGGTGCCAGATTCTGTCCTGGTTGCCCCTCTTCCAGGCCAGCTCTCTGCTGTGGCCCGGGAGTGCAGTGGAGGATGGCCCAAGTCTTGGGCCCTGCACCCCATGCGAGACCAGGAGAAACACCTGGCTCCTGCTTTCGGATCAGCGTGGTGCACCGGCTGCAGCGCGCTGGCCGCGGCGGCCATTGGAGGATGAACCAATGGCAAAGGAAGACCTTTCTCTCTCTCTCTCTCTCTCTCTCTCTCTCTCTCATTGTCTACTCTGCCTGTAAAAAAAAAAAAAAAAAGAAAAGAAAAGAAAAAAGGTCACAAGTATAAAAGTTCCTAGCAAGGAAGTTTAAGAAGGGAAGAGTTGTGCTTCATTCTTTCTCTCTTTAAAGAAGGTTTAAGTTGCAGAAGGTGTGAGAAAGTCATGGAAGGTTATGAAGAATTTTCTGGATACAAACGCTATTAATTAAAATCTGATCCTCTGTTAAAACAACGAGTTCCTGAAATACATATATGTTAATACATATTTTAAAATATTCTTTAAAATCTATTTAAAAGCTATAGAATCTCCTTTTAAAAGTTTTTGTTTAATTGGTAACCCTCTGTCAGTTTCCTAGCCAGCTCCAGTAAGCTCTCTTCTCTTTCCTAGTTCTGACTCTGTTAAAATTGTTCCAAATTGAGTGATCCAACATGGGAAGCGAGATACTCAGCAGACTCATAGAATGGCAGATGCCCTAAATAGCACTCTGGCCTCAGAATCAGCCCTAAAGGCATTCAGATCTGGCTGAAAAGCCCATGAGAGTATTTCAGGCATGGAAAGCCAAGACACTCTGGCAAAAGATCTCTGTGAGTGAGATCTCAGTGGAAAGAACAGGTCTTCAAAGAAGGAGGTACCTTTCTCTGAAGGGAGGAGAGAACCTCCACTTTGACTATGACCTTGTCTAAACAAGATAAGAGTCGGAGAACTCAAGGGGCTTCCATAGCCTTGGAAACTCATGACTGGAGCATAGGGAGATTACTGATGCCATAGACAGGAGTGTCAATTGGTAAAGTCAACAACAGGAGTCACTGTGCACTTACTCCTCATGTAGGATCTCTGTCCTTAATGTGCTGTGCATTGAGATTTAATGCTATAACGAGTACTCAAATAATATATTTCACTTTGTGTTTCTATGGGGGTGCAAACTGTTGAAATCTTTACTTAATGCATACTAAACTGATCCTCTGTAAAAAAAAAAAAGAAAAGAAAAGAAAAGAAAAGAAAAGAAACTATCAACTCCCAACTTGACTCTCACTGGGATTAAACATGACAATAGGTCTGATCTGATTTCATCATCATTAAAAAAATCATCTATTATTTTTCACTTTATGTTTCTGTGTGGGAGCAAACTGTTGAAATCCTTACTTAATGTATACTAAGCTGATCTTCTGTATATTAAGATAATCGAAAATGAATCTTGATGTGAAAGGAAGGGGAGAGGGAGTGGGAAAGGGGAGGGTTGTGGGTGGGAGGGACGGTATGGGGGGGAAGCCATAGTAATCCATTATTCGTACTTTGGAAACGTATATTCATTAAATAAAAGTTAAAAAAAAAATTGTTCCAAATTATTGGATGATTCAATGTACTAACTTATATTTAAGGTTTTGTTTTCCCATTTTAGTGACAGACCAAAGAGACATCAATTTTGTTTCCTATTGAGGTAAACCTTTATGTTCTCTGTCTCTCCTTAAGTTCTCATTGTGTAATAACAGCTGAATTTTTTTTATTAAAAGAGTTATGGTTTGGTTAAAAATATACTCATTCTAAAACATTTGAATGATCTCTTTGTAACAATGTTCAAATCTGGTCTATATTATGTCCTGATGTTAAGATATCCTATTTCTGCCAGAGATGTTAAACCTTCTAGGCATCTTTGACCGGCAATGAAAACTTCAAAGTTCCAAACACCAACTAATTATGTTATTTGGATTACATAAAAGGTATTGACAAGATATAAAGTGGTACTAAATTTTAAGTCATGATAATGTAAAATGCTACTGATACAAATGTCTGAAAGTTAAAAAAGTCTAATGATTTTGTTTTGTTACCAATCATGATGGTTATCTTAATGAAAAAAGGCCCAGAGGACTAAAAAGGATAAATGTTTTACAAATCTCACAGGTGCTTTCTGAAATACTGCATAGAATACCCAAGTGACTCTTCTTTTTCGTTAATAAATTTTATAATTGTTGCTACTTAAAGTCTTTTAACATTCACAGTTTGTATTTTTCTCTAAAACTTAAAATCGGGTTTGCATCGTTGGTTCTGTGTTTAAATGTGTCCTCTTTTATGTTCCAAAATATTTCTTTTTCCTGACCTTTATTGTATTTAGTACATTGGGACAGCTCTGCAAACAGATAAAGCCAAGGTTTAACAGGTTCCAACTGTTAATTCAGATTACTAAGAGCAGAAAGTAATTCTATCCAATTGGTAATTAAAAAAAACAGGTAAAGAGTTTAAAAAGCTACTACTGAAACTGCTTTATTATTCTATCCTGTAATGTATGTTTCGTGTCATACATGTGTACATATTGTATGTCTACATGGAAAATTTATTAAGAGCTCTGTTTTAATTGGCTTATAGAGAAAAGATTACTCATAAATTCAACTGCTAAGTTAACCCAAAATACACTTTTGGTTCACATGACCTAAATGAGACTCTGTATTAGATGTTTTAAACTTGTTGGTAAAAAGAAACAAAAAATGTTTTTTTAAAGTCATTGACATGTTTGTGCTTGGATTTCCTGATCAAGCAAGTTACACTTGTATTAGCTTTTCAAAAAATATTTCCAAATACAGGTACTCTTATAATTTACAAAGGACATTGGACCTTTTGATAAATGCTTTCAAAAGTTGTTATTTTACAGATAAAATTACTTGCTAAGTTTTCATTTGATATTAAGTTGTTGACAGTAAGCAATCTAAAAAGCCTGTATTCTCTTCAAGAAGAGAAACTGATTCTATTCTAAAGGACTCTTTATCAGCATGTACAGTGTAATCTTTAGACCTTGTAAAAGGGATGGCTAATATTTCTCTGTGCTAGTGCTTGGCAACACATAAAAGGCCAAATAGCCTGGCCACATGTAGAAAAACAAATAGCATAGCCTAAATAAAAGCTTGCATCATGATATGATTTAACAGCTAGATTTATTTTGCCAAAATAAACAGGCAAAGCCTCCCTTTTCAAACCAAACTAAGGGAGAGATACAAAGTCTTAACTAATTACTTCAAAATGTATAGACAGTTTAGATAAGGGGTTCTTCATGTTTGATCTTACCTAGAAAAACGTAGCTTTCCTCATAGACATCATCTTATCTCACAGGAAGAATATTGTCGTAACATGCCTGTGACGACAGATTTCTAGCTCAGGCCACTAGAGATTAGGAATGGGATTGAGCATCCCCTTGGCTGACATCCTGAAAGCTTCTATGGTCTACTTTAACAAAGACTAAGAAAAAGAGGAGTGAGCTAGGGAACAGGAGCGATGTAAGGATAAGTGACAGGCCAATTAATAATAGCTTTACACAGTGATCTGCCATCAAGGAGACCCTACAAGGCCAGTCCACCCCAAATGGCATTGGTTTTCTGTGTGGGAAGCCAGGGCTTTGGATAGATAGCAGTCATGACAGAAGCCAGTTTCTGAAGAGCCCTGTCAGCTCTGCCAGCCAAGAGCTGTGGCACTGGAAATGGAACTGCCCTAGAGTTAAAGGACTCCTAGGTCAGAGCCACAGACCTTGTTGGCTCTAAGCTGAAAAGCTCTTCACTCTGCCCAGCTTCCAAAGTAACCACCACCATCAGGGGAACAGCCTAGGGTCAGTAACATTGCAGGCACAGCTGTAGATTTGCTTTTAGGGATCCTGCCTATTTTATGCTGACCTATTCAGGCCAACTCTGCTTCCAGGTCAGCTAGGAGGTGGGAGTCAACAGGGTGCCTTCCCTAAGGAGGTTCACACCTCCCTTATGATGTCTCTTCCAGGACCCCATGTAAAGAGATAGGTCTGGGCCTCATATACCTAGCCAGCCCTTACTACCAAATGATTATTACCAAGCCCCTTCTGTCAATTTCTGTTTTCCTCTAAATGAAAAAAGCTCCTTTCTGCTTTGGACAGCACCTTTCATAGGTCCTCTGATAATAACCCTGTCCTTTGTTTTAGACCCTGTGTATTTAATATGTTTATTAGATTTGTTTCTTCCAGACTTAAAGCAATAAAATTCTAAATGGCAATACACATGGAACCTTGGATGAAAGCAGTTTCTACAAGCCGACACTGCAACCCTCTCAGGGGGGCCACCTCCTGTCGGAACCCTGTTTTGACTGCCATTCCCCACTCCACACCCTAAGGGGCCCCCAGGACAGTGACCCCCTGTCAGCAGGAAGTAGCTGAGACAAGATGGATGCCCTGGGTTCCTATAGCAGTAGGGTGCAGATTAAAAGAGAGGGCTGAGGCCATCCAGTTGTGCTGTCTGTGGTCCCCTCAGGCTTTAACAGAGTGTCTTGTGCAGCAGGCCATAAGCTGTGACAGAAAAGCTTGCTCTGAGACCCGCTCTCACCTCTCCCTACTGTGACATCCTGTTTGACCACCTTTTCAAGCTAGTCACAAATCTTCCACCCAAAAACTAGCAGCAGAGGGGCTAGGTCCACCAAAGAGAAAATTAGCTGTTAGCACCTCCCATTCAGCCTGTCACCGGAAGGCCCCACCCTTTGTATTATTGTACATGTCCTTCCTCAGGTCCATGCTTACAGTGAACCTGAGAGACATCATTTGATCCCCCCAGCCTTATCTGTCACCATTGTCATGCTTCCCCCTTGTTAGTTCCGTCTTAGTTGAGCTCAGTGTGGCAGGCACTGCTGCCCTCAGCACAGCAGCCTTGGTTCAGGGTGAGCTAAGTATTTCCATATGCCAACATCAGCCACCTCCAATCTTCTATTGACCTGTTACATAGCCAGGTAGTGTCTCTTATAGGGGTTGTCCTACAAAATCATCTCCTCCACCTCGGACTGATTGTAGGTCTCTGCATTCTTAACCAGTTACTAAACTTCATTAGACAAAGTATAACTTCTGTTACTCTGCTCTAAATAACTTTCCTGATCAATATGATAATGTGGCTGAATCAGAGATTTCATTATTGTCAACACACAAAGGGGAGAATAAAGTAACACCTTGACATTAGGGACTCCATTTTAGAGCACCTGAGACTCCATCTTGAGAAAGCACCCTCCACCATGAGACTGTGGTCTGAAACTATGTTCTAAAACTTAGACAATAATAACTGCATTCCACTAGAGCATAGAAACTCTCTAGCATGATTGCTCAA